TGGTCACTTGTAACTTGGGGTATGCTCTAAGATTCTGAAATGACAGAAAAAAAAACCCCGTATAACTTTAGGTCTTATTTATCAAAGTTGAAACCAATGTCTTTCTGGAATATGGGAAACAATAGAAGACAATTTCTTCCTACACAAATCTCTTTTGCTAAATGTAAAACTGACTTTTAGATCTATTGAGTCATCCTTTTGTATCACAGGTTTCTATTTGAATAAATGCTACTAGGATACATAATGAATAAGCAAAGTATCATTGAAAAGATAGCATAATGTCTAAAATTTTAGGAAACAAAGTTCTAGAAATTTGTTTATTCAATAAGTGCATTCTGCAGGCCTACTCTATATCAGGTATTAAGAAGAGCTGCAGGGAATATGGTAGTAATGATTCAGTGCATTTGAAACAGAAACTTCTTGCTTTCGTGGAATTATCCATCTAGTATGAAAGACAGATGTACAACAACTATGACATGAAGATATAAACGTTCAGAACTCAGAGAGAGTAGTACAGTGCAATACAAATTTAGGTCATGGAGAAGATAGTTCCTATAGCTTTGAATTGCCTACATATGTCCCAAGAATCCATCATGAATACTTTGCACATTCACATTTTGGTATATAAGTCGAATATTTTCTAACTTGTGATGTGCAAAATTTTTTAAAATGTTAATATTTTGACAAAGGAAGAGAATAATACGAGGGGAGGGGAAAGTAAGTTAGTTAAGTGTCTGTTCTCTAAAGGTCCCAACCCAGAGAAAAAATTAAATACTCTACAAATGTTAGTTACTGTGTTTATTATTATTATCATTATCATTACTATTTCTAATATTATTAAGAAACATCCCCCAAACCTGCACCAAGGTGTAATTGAGACCTCTATATTCTGAATATAGGTCAACATTTCCCAAATTGCATTTCTCAGAATAGTAATTCTGTGAAACATTTGTGTTAGGGTTACATTTAAACAAAAAAAAAAGTTTCCTTCAGTGTGGAACATGTTTGGGAAATGCTAGGGTAGTCCTTTAGGGAAAATCTGTAGGACTTCTCTGAGCCTTTAATATGACTCTACAACTAGAGGACACAGCAATTACATAACTTATTTGAGCAAAGAAATATTTTTCTCTCAGTTCATTGAAAAATAATTTTTCTAAGATGTGCAATTTGAACTCCTAAGGGACTTTTGTTAAGACCAAGACCAAGGTGGCTAGAACTCACTCCATTGCCATTCCCGGCCAAGTCTATTTTAAGCCAGTAACTGTAACATTTTAAGCCAGTAACATTCTATCTATCTATCTTTCTCTCTCTCTCTTTCATTTCCTTCCTTCTTTCCTTCCTCCCTCTCTCCCTCCCTCACTTCCTCACTCCCTCTCTCTGTCTCGGTGTCTCTGTCTCTGTCTCTCTCTGTCTCTCTTTCTTTCTTTCTTTCCTCTGTTTATAAGACTTATGGGAAAGGCAGATACCATAGCACCAGCTTGCTTGAGGTTAAGGCAGTTAGAGTTTTTCCAGAAGATCTGGTATTACTGGCACTAATGTCATTTTTCTTAGGACAGATATGGTCTGAGATGATAATCCAGGTTCTGAATAGGAGAGAAAATGACTGAAGGAAGATATGAACTGAGGATTATATTTAGATCCAACATGATCTCCTTTAGTTTGTTTTTCTCTCTGAAATAAGAAATTAAACCAGTGCATTCTATAATACAGATATAGAGAAGTATATGATCAAGGTAGTAGTTCGTACTTGTTCTTGAAGGAGAGAGAGTTGCATTCTAAATAGGCTTGAAGCATGATTTATTGAGTTATATTTCATTATGTATCAGACTAACAATTCTGCACAGCAGGACACTCTACTAATGATAGTCTTTCTGAGTATTGACTCTGCCTTCTATTTCCCTTTCTGTCATTCCTCTTCATCCCAGTGTTTCTTATGTCGTTGTGACTCAATAGTATGTTGGTTTGAGTAGCTACTAGGGCAGGGATTAGGGTGAGAGGAGTGAGGTACTCACCTCAGGGACAGAATTTAAGTAAGTTCCAAAAACACCAGCAATCAAGATAAATAATAGTTTTATGAAATTTTTCAAAAGTCAAAATTAATGTAAAAATTTATGAACAAAGCATCAAAGTTCTGAATAAAGACAGTTTCATGATACTGATATTCCTTAGTGTCCAAAATGGCTCAGCACAGCACCAGTAAATGCCTCTTTAATCAGAATTTCCCTGGGCTGCACCTAAGGACATTTAGTTTGCAGTGGCTCACTTTCATATAACCTACATGAACAAGCACATTTGAACACGAACGATTTAATTCAATCACTCAAGGTGTTATTTTGTCAACAGCCAATTTGTACTTAGTAGCTAGATTAAACTGATGATTTTTATTTTTCTCTAAACTTGTTTGTGAATAGACATACCCTATGTGAAATGATCAATGGAAAACACAAATATTGCTTATTAATGTTCTGATGGAAACGTCAAAGCCCAGGAAAGTTAACATAAGGTCAAAGAAAGAGTATCAGATTCTGAATACCTCTGAGCTGCCCTTTCCTCTCTCAGAGTAAACATTATTTTTGCCCAAAAAAGCAAAAAATCGTGACACTAACTTTTCTTCTTTTATAAATATATTACACCTATTTTGATCATTGTTCTAGACGTTAGAATGAGGGATTTGGTTAGTTTTGAGTAAAATAAATTTATGAACCATTATTCTACTGCCCTCTATTGTTAAACAGTGAATAATAATGTCCTTGAACAGGGTAAAACATAGAGTGAAATATATTTTACAAAGCAGTCATATATATCTGTCTTCTATATATTTGTTGAAAATCTAGAGTATTCCCTGAAAGGCCAAACATATGTGGCTTGTCTTTGCAAATTCAAAATCCCTTAGGAAAAGTTTTTATTTTGGTATTTATACTTCAGTGCACAATATGACATATTGTTAAGATTTATTAAAATTAACTTATTTTAATAAACAGAATACATACATTTAAAAATAACTGTGCAGTATAGAAATGTACAAAGAAGAGAATAAAAGTCCCCCAAATCCTATACCCAGAGATAAACAGTAGTGACATCTCTTGTTATCCTTCCTTCCAGAGTTCGCTGTACACAATTTTACTTTAAAAAATCACAGATATTCCTAAGTAAACTTTTGTTTTTACTCCATCTGAACGCATTTTCTTTCCTTCTTAATTGGTTCTTTTTAAGATCTTAAGTGTTCGACTGACTAAGCAAATCTTCCATGAGGACCAATGATAGGAGCAATGAGGACATTTAGAAAAACTACCCAAATAACCTTAAGCAACATATAACAAGCATACATGAAACACCAACTAAAGAACATGAATGGCAGCATGATGTCAAAATGAATCACAACTACAGAAAGGAAATGCAGAGCAGCAAATGCCGTGTAGCTCACATCCGCTGTGAGGATGGTTCTGAAAAGCTTCTCCACTCTGGAGAAAGCGGGAATGAAGAGGGGGCAGGATGACATTATTGTAGACGTCAGGTGAAAACCAAGTAGAGGTAATGGTGGGTTGTACCACAAAGAGAACAAGCACGATTCTTACTGAGAATAGTAAAAAAATAGACAGAACAAACTAAAAACAAAAACAAAAAAATTGACCTGGCTCACTCTAGACTGTGAGCTCCTTGGCAGTAACTATTTCATAATGTTTGTGGCAATCGCAGATCAAGATGTAGTACATAGTAAGCAACAAGAAATGTTAAAAGAGAAAGAAGAATGATATAAAAGAAAGGAGAGGAGGAGGGAGGGATAAGGGTAGTACAGCAGGGAGGAGGGAGAGAGAGTGATGGGGGAAAGCAGAGAAGAGAGAGGGTAAAGAACAAAGAAGGAAAGAAGGAAGGAAGAAAAGAGGGAGAGGGAGAGGACGGGAGGAAGAGAGGGAAGGAAGAATCATAGGGAATATTGAGAAGCACAATATTCATATATTCAGACACCTGTGTTGCTTAGTGGATAAAGAGCACAGCTAATAAAAATGCCAGAAATGCAAACAACAGAACTTTAAATTCAATCTTTAACACATCCAGGCATACACTGAATTTTGAGCAGGTGAATGACAAGATGAAAATATAATTTGGCCTTGGGTGGTATGCACAGGTGCACAGTAAATAAATGTTGACATTTCCTGATCATGCAGAATGCTATTTGTAATAACACATTATTGCTAATGATAATCTTCCTGTAATTGTAATGTACGGGATAACATTTCCAACACTCCCTAGCCTGCTTAATCTGTCTGCTCTTCATTCACCCATTTATTCATAGAGCAAACATCCATTGTACATCTTATGTGTGAGGCGCATTGTTCCAGATCTATCAAGAAAGTGAAGATTATTTCTTTACATATTATATTATTATAATTTA